TAGAGTGTTGGGCAGTACTGTTGGCCAAGTGGGCGATAGTGATGTCACTGGAGTGGACAGTTAGCGCTGACAATAGACTCACGACAAGAATGACTATCATTTTGTTGATGTTGTGGACAGACATGTTGTGCCAGAAACTTGTGGAGACTTTGTGGAAATGACTGGAAATTAATTAATTAATTATTAGTTTATTGCTAAAAACTGTATGCTTTTGAAACGTATAATTAATTTTGAGTTTTTAGTCTACTTGAGTTACTATTAAAAAGTTATTTTTTAGTTGTATAATTTTAATTTATAATACTTTGAAAAGTTTTAAGTTTACTCTTAATGCAACAACATATTTAACACACTTACTGGATTGCTAGGTAGTAATTCTGGTTCAGTACACATTTAGCTACCTAGTACCTAGTGAGAATTCAAAGTATATGTATGTGACAATTAATATAAAAATTATTAAGACTAATTGAATAATAAAATACAATTTTTAAATAAATTTAATCTTAATTAAATAAACAACAACATAGCACAATTCAAATACTTCAATAAACTATACAATATTATTGTGCACACAAAATATAACATTTTACAAAACATTAACTATCATAATTAAATTAACATAATGAAAAATTGTTAAATCCCATGATGTATCTCTTATAATTTTAAGTTAAGTTAAAAAACAATTCTGAAAAAATATTTTCAATTAATTTATTTAACTTTTTATTTAACTAATTTAATTTAATTTAATAATAAAATTAATATCAACCACATTATATAATATACAGTATATTTGTTAGCAGTGAAAATTTTACAACTAATAAATAATTATAATACACAATTTTTTTTCAGCAGATAATCTAAAAAATTAGAGAAAAACTCATCATGGTCCTTTAGTTGGGGTAGTATTAAGTCAATACCAGAATCCTTCAGAATATTCTGATCGATAGCCCAATCATTATTTTTATGCAAAACGTGTGAACATTCAGGCCTTAGCTTATAAAAGGGTAAAACCATTGCCTGTAATGTGTTTAACATTTCAGTGATTTTTGTTTTAATCGTTTCATTCCCGGAGTAAAGGATTTCAATACTGTATTGTAATTTGAAAATAAAATTAATTCATTAACAATATTATGAATAAATAGATTGCATACTTATCAAGGTCTGTGAAAAATAAATCCAAATCAAATACTTCCCCACCAATAATAGCCAGACTATAAATGTCTACTTTATGTCCATATATAATACCCTGGGCTATTTCGGGAGCTTGATACTTAGGTGTTCCCACACCTGTTGTGTATTTATCACATGTGGACATATTATTGTTTTTCTGGTGAACTTTAGCCAAACCAAAATCACATAACTTAACAAATCTACCGTTCCTCCCTTTTCCGTCAATCAATATATTGTCGGGTTTGAGGTCACTGTGAATGATCTGTGGATTCAATTCATGCAAATACTGAACACTTTCTAAGATCTGACGGAATATTTCACACGAAATGAAGTACTCATAAGAACTCATGGCTTCTCCTAATCCTCTGTCAAATAATTTTGGTTTAATTTCGAGAATATTCCTTAAATTCTGTGAACAGAACTCCATTTGAATGTAAAGGTATGTGCTTTCGGGCCATGAATTGAAATACTGGACACAATATTCTGACCGCACTTTCCCTAAATTCTTCACTTCATTCAGAATTTCATTCATATAATGATCAGAAGAACCTGAAAATATTTTCAAGAATTTTAAATTATAGAAGTATTTATAAAATTATTTTCATTTATATTTACTCTCAAACTGTACTCTTTTGACGGCATATATGTGTTCATCGAATCTATGCTTCACTTTAAATACTGTTCCAAAACGTCCCGAACCTATTGGCGACAACTCCTCGAAGAGGTTTTGGTAATGACTTTCAAATGAATTGTTTCCCAATTTTGAAACTATGAACACAATTACATATTAACATTCATTTCGGATTAAATAACTATACCTTCATTTGAAGTTTTATTTTTGTTTGAGTTTGTATTTAATGTGTTGTAACTTATGTTGTGTTCATTGGCGTAATAGTCAACAAAATTATTGTATGGATATTTTGCAACTTCACCTGGTGAGATTATTTTATAAATTTTATCATCAGCTTTTATTATTAATGGGCATAGAATATAATATGAATGACGCTCGTTAAATTGTTGAACATTTAAGTTCAATGACAATTGTATCGGGGTTTTTATTCTTTTCAATTGTTTCATATCATCTATATATTGGCCACAAATATATACTATATTATTATTCGATAGAAAACACGTAAACCCATTGTCCTCATGAAATGATGCACTGATTGATTTGATATCATCAAGATTTGGGATCAATTTGGGTGACAGTGAATTGCTGCCATTTGGTTTATACCCCAATTCACCATACGGATTCTCACCCCAACTGAATACCCAACCCTCGATAGTAATGGCAAATGAACTATAACCAGAACAGAAAATACTTTTGATTTTATAATTGTTTGCAAATTTTATCAATACTGGTGTCCTTGCTGAAATTCTTGTACTATTCCCAATTTGTCCAAAAAAATTCCCACCCCACGCATACACCTGTCCATTGGTGGTGAGGGCCAGGGAGTGTTCACCACCACAACATATTTGTGTGATATTCTTGTCATTCAATTCTGATATCATATCAAATACTTTATGAAAAGTATCTAATTCTTCCGGATGTCTACCCAACTGTCCCTCACTATTGTTACCCCCACTAAACACGTGATTCATGTCATTGATAGCCAACACAAAGGCATTTCCATTAATAAACTGTTGTATCCTTTGATTACATAATTGCGGTATAATTAGTGGTGTTTTCACTTCATTGTCTTGACCCAAACCCAGACAACCACAATGATTACCACCCATACCATAAACCAAGTCATTGTTTGTGATAAATATTATATTTTCATATGTATTCAGGTCTTCATCATAACCAATGAAAACATGAAATAATTTAATTTCGTGTTTAATATTCGCGTCAATCGTATCGCAAATGCGAAACTTATTCAAAAGTTCACACATTTTGAGCACATTTATAATAATCAGAATTTAGTGTAAATAACAAAAAATAAAACTTTGTTAATCAAATAACTATTAATTATTTTCCAACAAAACACAAAATGAAGTCCAAATGAATAGTGATATGAAAGTGTGTTGTCATTGAAAATATGTGATAACTATTCACTCATTCATATAAAACATTACTATTTAATAACGGGTCATAATGTATCTTGGTTTTGAAATCATTTATAATATAATTAATATTAAATGCTTAAATTAGTACTGGTTTTAAAATATGTTTTAATACTAAACACTATTCACGATGCTAACTTAAATGTTAATTAATTTGAATACTAATTTATTTATTTAATGGGGTTTCAAAATAATATACAGGGAATGTATTTGTAAATGTATAGTGAATTACAATTGTTTTTGATAACAATAATTATCACATTTAGAAACCATTGGAAACAAAGATACTGTGTTTATTGTCAATAGTTTTTTGTGACATTAATTATTTACATTTGAAATGTTTATATAAGGTTTAAAAATTAAGGTTGCTAGTTGAGGTAAAATTAATATAACGTGTAATAATTTTTTTTATAAATTAATTAATGCAATTTTATTTTTATAAACTTTTAAATTTTAATAACTATTGGATTCATATCAACAGTATATTATTTAGAGGACTGGTATGTCATACCGTAGAAACTATACAACTCTTAGAATTTTAAGTTAAGTTTAAAAAACAATTCTAAAAAATACTTTCAATTAATTTATGTAACATTTTATTTAACTAATAATAAATTACAGCATTTTAATTGTATTAAAACCTAAGAAAATAAATTTCAATTTCATATCTAATCTCATTTACGTCGGACTCAAGTCATTGATGGCAGAGATGTCTTGGATATGACAGTACTTCCGGTGCTTTTGGAGCTCTTCTTCAGCCAATTTGTACTTAAAGTCCAATGAATTCAACACTTTTTGTAACTCTTTATTCTCTCTTTCCATGTATTGTCTGTCAAAACATATCATTCATTTAAAGGTTAATTAAATTTTGCTATAAATTTCAGAATTTATTACTTTTTCAAAGTTTAACCATAAGTTAACCATATTATAAAATTTAATCTAATTTTGCTAGTTAAATATTTGTCTAACTTGCTATTTATTAGCATTTATTATTTTAAACATAAAAAACATTTTTAAAAATAAGTTTGTATTTCCCATATAAAAAAGTTGAGACTAATTGCCAAAAATAGTTTCACTTCAATGAAAATCATCGGAAAACATAATTGTAACGGAAATGTCGTTTTTATGATTAAACTTGTATTTCCTAACTATAAATTTATCTGATTTTTTGTTAATTAAATAAAAAACTCAAAAAACGGATAAATAAACTCAAAATACACTACAAACTCAATACACCATTCATACGGTGTACACAAAACACACAAAATTAATTGAAAACAAGTTTTTAAAAACTCGAAAAACTTTTGGCAAACTTTCCGCTACTTATAGCCCATAACCCACACCTGTATCCATCAGTTATACCTAAGCCTAGAGATCATCTCCCGGTGCCGTTGTTTACGCCGATCGTACTTCTGGGACAACTCCTTGAGCTCCGACACCCTTTTACTCAACTCCTGTTCCAGTCGTTTATTAACGGCTTTCACGTCCACTAACTGTTTGGCCACTTGTGTCGACGACTCGGTCGCAGCGCCGGTAGTGTTGAACACCTGTCCCTTGGAGGCCAACAGGAGTTGCAGTGACTGGTCCTGTATGGGGTCGGTGTCCGACGACTGGGACGACGACTGCGTGGACTCGACTACCGGTGCCGTCAATGGACTGATTGATTGGCGTTTTTTGTCACTGAGTTTCAGTAATTGGTTTTCCAAGTGATCGCTCTGTGATTGAGACTCCGATAGCTTTTTGTGTCCATAAAACAGATCAGATAATAGATAATCAGTCAATCGGACAG